TAGCTGGGATTATAGGCACGCGCCACCATGCCCAGCTAATGTTTTGTATTTTTAGTAGAGACGGGGTTTTACCATGTTGACCAGGATGGTCTCGATCTCTTGACCTCATGATCCACCCGCCTCGGCCTCCCACAGTGCTGGGATTACAGGCTTGAGCCACCGCGCCCGGCTACAATAAGATGTAATCTTACAATAAGGAAGCTAGAGAAAAGAAAATGGCATGGAAGGAAGAGTAAATATACTGACAGCACTGTATTTATTGATACTATGAGTTTATATTGTCTGTTTATACAAGATCGTCTGTATCTGAAATGGGTGGAGGGTGCAGGCCTCCATCTACAGTACCCAGCAAGCATTCTTGTAATGTCATGACTTTTCTCTGCTTCTTGTGAGCACTTCAGCATTGTTAGTGGTACTTCATATAGGTCCCATGGTGTTATTTGGGGTTTACGGTATTGCACTAAACCTGATGAAAAATACAAGAACTCCAAGAGATCACTCTTTATTGCCATATGCAATTTTCTGGAGAGATGAACTGCTCTCCAGGTGAAGAGGATTAGTGTCATCCAGCTATTTCAAGCCTATATTCACAACACGAGCTCACCACAATAGCAACAGGAGGTAGCTATGAAGTCACTACAGGAGTACAGTATGGACGAGTTATTTTATGCAGTTCTGACTGAATACTGCAACTCAGTCCTCTGGGTTTACTTCCTTGATAAATACATAACAACTCTCAAGTTCATTTTTTCCAGACATTATACCCAAGCACAAGGAAGTGAGGCACAAGTCTGATAATGGGGAGATGGAAATTGGGGGACTTGAGCAGAATCCTGCCCTCATATCCCACCTGCCTCTCAGAAAACTTACCCCACTTCCCACCCCAAGCAGGAAACCAGAAGACTCTTTTCTGGATCAACTAAACAGTCCCTTCGATTCCTAGAGTCTGCCAACAAAAACATCAAAAAGCTGGACCATTACAGCAAAGGTACTAGTTGTAAAAACCTCAGCTACATAGCTTCTGGTCAGTTTTTCAATGCTTCACTCTTTCACGAGAATCAACAGTTAAGGATCATCAGGCAGTTGAAAAAGGGAACATTCCAAATAGGAACAAGGGAAACAAAGCTGAAGCAAAAACCTTGGAGGAACAGAAGAAAACTCAACAACAAAACCAAAAAGCCACAATAGAGTCATCAAAGGGAAGATACTGCATCCGTGCAACAAAAACAATACCATAAACAAGAACATCAGGAAAAACCTTCAAAACCAAACACAAAACAGCAAAACAAAGGAGAGTGTGAAGACAGAGAATTCCCTAGAAAATAACGATTAAAAAAACAGACAATAGGAGAGAAAAGTATTGATTCTAGGAACAAAAAACAGATAGAGGAAACAATAATATAAAAAAATGGATCCAGAATTAAGGGACTCAGGTGCCTGGGTTACACTGCAAGAATCCAGTATAAAAGCACAGGTTCAAAAACCACAGGATAAAGCAATCTAAAAATTTCCAAAGAGGAGGGAAAAGGGCACATATAATAATCAGAAATTGAAATGATACTGGACACAGATAACACTACTGGAAGCAGAGGAACAATGCCTTCAAAAGTGGGAGGAGAGGAAAATTGTTCTCAACGTAGAATTCCCTTTCCAAACTATCCATCAAGTGAGGAGAAAGAGTTGTTCGGGACTCAATTTTACTTTGCCTTCATTCCTTCCTAGGAAGCTGTTAAAGGATGTGCTGCTCTAAAGTGAGGAAAGAAACCTGAAAAGGAGATGACAGGATCCAGGAAACAAGATGAACAGCCCAGAATGACTGTGCAAGGAAGAGCCACACAGACAGCTCTGCGGCAACTGTGGGAACTTGTGCAAAGCAGGGAGGGTGTGGGTGCTCAGCCGGGTCTCTAGGGTCCAGCTCAGTGCTTGATCCATCAAATTCATAACAAGTGAGGCCTGTAAGCAGAGCAAGTATGGAGAAATTGTTGAATGACACCAATACAGAAGGAA